TCATTATCCTAAAGAACTGACTAAGATAAACCCATGACATTTCTCTCATCTGGGGAAAACACATATTTCTGAAATGTCAAGGACACACTGAATGGCACGTCCTTTACTTGCCAGCCATAGAGCATAGCAGGTTTAACAAGCTGGTAAAGTCATGGCTCAGTGGGCCAGGACATGCAGTCTGTGCGTGATCATCCTGGTTATTGCTGTAGTCACAGCTCAGACGGGAACATCACCAGTTCAAAGTAGAAACTTACAAAAATATCACCATCGTCATATATATATACTTAATAGTAATTGTACTGAGTTTGTTGTGACTGCATTCTGCTATTTGCATTTATCTCAAGTTTCCTGACTTGTTTCATTTTTCTAACAATATTTTCAACTTCGTACAGAAACAATTTAGCAATACCCCTACTGTCAAGTCTGTGGAAGCAATTCAAGCCCTCAGTATGTAAATGCCAGGTCTCGTTACTCTTGTACAGTCTGCATATAACTGTCTACTCTATTTTGCAGGAGCTCAAATTGTTCCTTGCTGGTATCTATGAGGTATCTAAATTTTGTAAGTGTTATTGTCTATAAAACTGCTACTGGTTCACTGTACCATAAACAGATACCACTGAAGACTTGGGCCATTAATGCTCTTAATGCCTAGATTTTCATGTAAAATATTTCTCTCGTATCTTGTTCATGGAAATTAATTTAAGTATCTTTCTATGATTATGGGCTGGTGCAGTAAGCCGATGTGTGTACACCTGCTAAATAGCAGTTTCATTCTAAAAATTACAATGCATATTCTTATGTTGCAGAAGAGTTAAGGGAAATTGTTGTTTCTCATTGAAAGTTCAACAGTATAAGGCTAAATTACTCCAGGCTCAGAATTAATCTGTGGTAGATAATATCCTGCTATTTGAAACATGATCTTATGTAATTGCTATTCTTTGGTGTCCTCCAATGGTACTGTAACTGAATTTTGTTTAGTCTAAAACATAAGCAGAAAGTAAGGGGTGACTTAAGACATCATAAATTTTCTACTTCTGACAGTATATTATAGTAATTAAGAAAAGAGATCAACCTCAGAATCTATGAAACATACACCACATGTAATAAGGAACACTCCCTTGTGAACTGGAAGGCCTGTATTTAAGGCCATCTTCCAAAGGGTGCAGGTGGTGAAGCTCAGCACAGTGCATTTCCCAGAACTTTGGGAGCACTTAAATCACTTAAATAATGAGGATAATCAGGAAAAAACACAGGTTTTTCCATATGAGAGGAAGTTTGTATTACCGTGTTAATACAAACTTCAGGAAAGGTTTTTCTGTCACGGAGATGCATTGATTTTCAAATTAGCTCTAGCTTGTCTTTTTTGTTTGTTTGTTTGTTTGTTTTCCGTGGTTAATTTGGTTGGCTACTTAGTTACAGATCATATTTTTAATTTTCTTAATGTGTATTTTATAGGAAGTCTGGCAATGTAATTTGTGGTTAAGGATTTTTCAATGCTGAAATTAAGGACAAGGGGTAACGGGTTAAAACTTAAACAGGGGAAGTTTAGATTGGATATAAGGAGAAAATTCTTTCCTGTTAGGATGGTGCGGCACTGCAATAGGTTGACCAGGGAGGTTGTGAATGCTCCATCCCTGGCAGTGTTCAAGACCAGGTTGGACGAGGCCGGGTGATATGGTTTAGTGTGAGGTGTCCCTGCCTATGGCAGGGGGATTGGAACGTGATAATCTTAAGGTCCTTTGCAACCCTAACTATTCTGTGATTCTATGACTCCATGATTCTACCTTGAAGTTCTCTTGCAAATTAACACATCAAGAATTTTTTTGTACTCTTTCCTTCTTCAATAGCAAATAATAACTTGTAGGGCCTCTTTTTTTTTTTTCCTTCAATTTCTGGGATGTTTTCATTTCTTGTGGCTACTGAGATAATTTTGATATGCCTTATGGAATAGTTTTTGCTTTCTTCCCAGAGTCAGAACTCCAAAAGAAGCAGTCAGTATTTTTTAACAAAGAACCACATTAAAACTCTTGTGTATGTTTCTCAATTGCTCCCTTTCTTCTGCCAGAAGAGGGGGAAATATCCAATCAAATAAAAGGTGTTTTAGCATTTCCTGGGCTTACAGAGATAAAGCTTTAGATGTATCTTTCCTGTATCCAAAATCAAATGCTGTTCTGGAGTTTATCTTGAGCTAAGAGAAATCTTATCTGCAGTGGTGGAGATGATAAAAGTTAAGATATCATGAAGCCAGTGCTAGCTGTATCTATGAAAGCTGCTGTCCAGTTAGATATAAAAAAGTGGGAAAATCTAAAACATTGTGTACATAGACATAAATTTCTTCTTGGATTTTTCATTTGCGGGTTTTGGGGGTATTTTTACCATTTCCTTTTGAACCTTATTCAAAAACATTTAATCCAAATACTTGTTTTGCTGTAGCAAATGGATTACTTGTTTATTCAGAAAACTGTATTTTAGCTACACTGTGAAGATTTTTCTGCTCCTCTTTTGAATTACATTAACTCTTATTCCATGACGAAGTTGTCATCCACTTACAGACTATAAAAACAACACAAGTAATTTTTTTTTTAAGTAAACGTCAAGTATCCCTGTAAAAAAAAAAAAAAAAAGTGTATGTTTGAGATACTGAATAGCAGTTTAAGCAAATTGTTTTTTAGCTCCAATCTCCTTCAATTAAATTCAGCCAAAGGAAGAATGACGTAAACTTGTATTTCTTACACCTGCTCAGTCTGATATCGTAGAATAATAACCTTCCAAATACATGTTTGTGAAGCCTGAGAACAGCTCATTTTCAGCCACCTCAATTAATTTCAGAGTAGCATGTTTTTGGTATAATTCAGATACGTGATGTTAAGATCATCAGAGAATACATGTGTATCTTATTTTATGAAAGCCAAGATCTTTGTCACTAGTATTTTTATATTTAGAGTTTACAAACTAAGGATTAGCAATTTGACCTTGACAGTCATTGGCATATGACAGGAATATTAAGCAGAAGATTTCCCTGGAGGAAACACGTCCAAGAGTCTGTCTAGTGTAAAAGGTCTCCTAACTATGTATTTCACTATAAGAAAAATACTATTAAAATCATAGCCTACAAGGTTGTTCTCTCAATTTACTTTTACATTTGCCAGCTTTGATTTTTTACTCCACTGCTTTTGTGCAAAATTCTGTCCAAATGTGAGGTAGAAAATTAAAGGTTTTATACCTAGCTTTTTATAAATCTCTTCATCCGTTCCGAGCTCTCACCTGCATGAAAAGTTCATACTTGCAAACATCTGCCTTAAATGATACAACTATTAGTCTTGCATAGCAAGTTGCAAGTGTTTGTCCCTTAGATCACACAACTCTGTCTAAACAGTCATTTGTATGCAGTGTGCGCTATGTGTTTTGACACAGAGCCAAATCCTGAGTTCGAGTGCCTCGCTACCACTTCAGTCTGGACCTGTTCCCCTGGAAATGCCCTGAAATGATAATAGCACAAATTTGAATAGCTTGGAGTGAAGGGATTAATTTTTAATAGACTTGAACTTTTTAAAAAAGTAAATATATTCTGTAGATAATGTGAACAGAAGGACAGAAATTGTAGTGGATTTTCAAAAAGGATATAGTGTATAGAAATTATAGTACTATGAGGCACAGGTGAATTTTAGTCCTGCCTGTAAAAGAAATGAAAAGCAGCATATAAAAGGGGACACCATGTTGCTCTGTAAAGCCATAATGTGAATGCATGGCATGCGTAGAAGTAGAAAGCAAACAATTACTGATGCTTTATCATAGTTAACACATTTTTAGAGGGGATGGGATATGATGACTTTTATGTATCTCTGTTTTTTAAATTAAAGTACAAAATATGAATTTTGTATGTTAGAAAAGCATCAGTAGATTCTAACAGATGTAGTTATAGAAAGAAAAGAAAAGGTGTCTGTGTTATTCTGAAATGGTGTTATTGCTATCCTTTATTCAAATGAGTATATGATGAGATGGGGAAAGCGTGAACACTTCCAGAAAAAGATTTCAAAATTTGTGTAAGTAATATTCTATCTCTGCTGTGGTATTCTCTCAAGTGCTTCCCATGTTCCATGCAGAACTGCAAGAATAAGCAGAGGGCCAAAGTTTCATCATGTAGATGAGAAAATTGTGCAAGAATGTGCTTCTAGAATAGAAGAATTCTTTTTAGAGGGATAGACTTTATTTGAATCTCAAAGGAAGCAGGTAACAAACCAAGAGGTTGTACTAAGGTTTTAAACCCTTTGAGGCTAAGTTATATCTGAGGTTTTAAATTCAACAGTGAGTGAAGGCAGATTTGAAAGAATATGTTTCAAAATGATGCATTCCCCTAGGTAATTTTTGTATCTCTGAAGAAAAGTTAGAAATTTTTTATTGAATGGGAAATTTGAAAGGTTTGAACAAACAATGCCATTAGAAGACACAGTAAAGAAGAAAAAGGACATGCTTCTATAAAAATATGTGGGGCTTTTTTGTACAACAGTAGAAGTCCAAGAAAAACAAACAGAGAATATGAATATATAGTTTGCAGGTTTTCAGAAAGTGAAAGAAAACTGACACAGTGAAACAGTAGGATAAAGACCGTCCTTGAAAAAAAAAAGAAAAAAAAAAAAAGACGTCCTTCAGAAAGTTGAAGTTTTGCCCAATTGGGAAATCTGAGAAGTTACACATAAAAATGCAACGAGGAAGACCAAAAAAAAAGCAATAAGAAAAAGGTGTGAAGGTATAAAAATCTGCTAAGAAATCTCCTCCAGATCTTGAAGTCACCTAGGGAGATCAGAAGGACATTACTAGGTTTAAAGGAGCATTTAGCAAAGGCTTAGTACAGCAGATTTTGCAAAGCCTCCTGTGATAGATTTTTTCCTTGTGAGAGACATCAAATGGTCAGCTACAGACTTAGGTAATAGTAGACGACCTTATTAAATAAAGAGGTAAAGTGGACAAGGACAATTGACAGAATAGTTCTAAAGGAGCACCGGAATTAAACAGACGAATTACTAACTCAGAGATTAGAGCTTGCCAGGAAGCAGAGATTTGTACTGTTCTATATACTAAAAATGATTTGGAAAAAAAAAATGGTGATACTAAGCTATTCATGGCATTAAAGACAACTATGTAAAATTGCAAAACTCCAGAATGTGATAAAATAGCAGATGAAATCTAAAATGAAATGCAAAGTGATGCACACATTGGGAAGGGGGCAAGCTGAAACTTGCATTATGGGCTCTCACTGAATACTGCTGTGTAGAAAGGAGGTCGCTGGGCAAAAGTGAACAGTTGTATGAATACGTTAGCTTGATGCTCAGAGGTCAAAGAGGAAGCTGAAAAGTTAGGAAGTGTGTGGGAAACAGCAGAAAACAAAGCAGGGACTGTCATGCTGGTGAGTACATGCCAGGCCCACCTGCATGTTGAGCAATGTGGGAGGTTCTGGTCAGACATATTTAAGTGTACCTATTTTTGTTAATAAATGTAATATCCATTCAGTGCCAGGAGGATGTGCATGTTTGAGAACTTGCAGCATATACAGCAATTTTAAGTATATTTCTCCATTAAAAAAAATGCATCCTTAGAACAGTTGTAACCCAACAGGCAAAAACGTAGGGCTAGAGGTGCTTGACATCAGCACTATTGACCATGTCATGCATAAAATCAGGACAGACACAGTGTTTATGTGTAAATATTCAAAGTGTTAATGAAAGAAGGAAGCCTCTCCAGGTACAGTGGGATGGAGCAGATTTGGAAGGGTGCCAGGGGTGATTTACAATGAGAAATTATTAGATTAATCAGGACAACCTCGGCTAATTTTGAAGGAGAATGATGGCATTCCCTCAGGGGTGTTTCCAGTATGTCCTGGGTGCAGTCCCCTCAGAAAGGTGTCCCCACCCCAATGCAGATTTCCCATGGGCCACTGTACCCCCAGACGGACACCCACCAGGGTGAAGTGCTTCTTCTCCCCACTCACATCTCCTGCAGCCCCTCCAGCCATACCCAAGCTGGTGCTGCAACCACCTCTGGGGCCTGCAGAGGTGCTGGCAGCCATTATGGAACCAGCTGGAGTGACAGCCTTCCATGACTGCTTCAGCAAAGTGTACAGCTGCCTCCCATGCAAGGCATGGCTGCTGCTTCAGCTCCTTAACCCTGCTTTTACACGCAACATCCTACAAAAAAGAAGGTCAGTGAGTGGTGATGGGGTGGGGGAGTGAGTGGTAAAGGAGGTACAATGGCTTCTGCTGTTCAGTTCATAGGGCAGTTCCCAGCCTGATTCAGCTCCCACACAGTGGTTAGTGGATTTTGAGACTAAGTTCAATGTTTTGGATGGAGGCTAGCTGGCCTTGGTGCCAGACAATGCTCCCAGGTACATCTCATTTATCAGTCTAGACATAGGCTGGTGCAATCCACTCAAACATGTATTTACATTCAGTATGAAAAGGCCTTCCCTGACAATGAAAGATTATGTACTTTTAGTTCAAACTCTATTTAAGAGGAGTTCACATTACATTATCAAAAGTATTGATATTTATTGCTACTGTTGTTTCCTCTCAACTAAATACCAGAGAAAATATACTTAGTGATTTACTCTCTCCAATATTCTCTATCTTCCCTTGATCTGTTTTTAGCATGAGAAAAACACAGAAGAAAAAATGTTTTTACTGGTTTTGTTTTTTTAGAAAAGTGTTACTTGTTACTTCATTGTAAAATAAAACAAGATTTTGCTCAGTATTTTAAAGGTGAGCACGGACTTCTTGTGGTCAAGCTTGGTAGTCAGCCTTGTATATGAACAGCACTGCACCTACTACTTTGAGGAAGGCCTATCTTTTTTCGTTCTGTCTTGATACAATCACTAGGACTGAGTCAGCCCAAGACCCTGGCTGCGAGTCCCCTGGGCTAACACATGAAAGTGTTTATAAACACAGTTATCAAATACGGTCATGAGGAAAATATATTTAGCAGAAATATTCTTATCCAAATTGCCTTTTCATGCCCCTCCCCAGCCTCAGTGCCTGGCGGGGTTCCCCAGTTTTCACATCTCTGTCCTGTTCTAAAGCATTTTCTGGGGTAAGCGTTGGACTCTTCTGGATGGATGGCAGTTATTTTAAAAGAAAAAAAAGCATTAAGTGGACTTTAGCGTCCCTCTACAGGTCATGCTGCACTCTGCTAGAATCACATTCCCTGTCTCCAGAAAACCAAGTTTTATAACTTTATCTGAAGAAATAAACAGATAATCTAGCAACAGGAACATTGTTGAATTCCTCTATGCTTCATAACCTACTACAGTGATTTTAATCCTATATTTTGTTAAAAACTCAGCATCCTGCTGGCCAGTCTTCATTATCCAGTAAAGAGCTGGGAATAATGACATTTCTAGTAGTAAGTCCTCAGAATTGTCTGACATCAATACAGTAAGATGTCTTCTTAAAGAATTTCTGGAAATGGAAGACTTCTCCTTCTTGCATAGGCTGCAAAAAACCCTGAAAAGTTGTTTTTATGACCTGCATTTTATGCATTCCAATTGTTGAAGAAAGTATATAGGAAAGTAATTCTCCAATTACTGCAAAATTGCTTAATTTTGTTTGATAGTATCTTGGGAATTTGAACACACACCTCTCCCTCCACCCCCTAAAACAAGGGTACGTTACTTAAAAATAAAGGGCTGATAGTAAAAATATTCTTGTTATTTGATTGCTGGATTTGTGATAAATACTTGCAGAGACCTTATTGTTAAAGTGAATAATGGCTAAAACTATTTCCCTCTGAAAAAATAAAGAAAACCAGCTAAAACCAGAGTTTTCTGCAAGTGTGACAAGTTCATGTCTATTCTCCTGAAATTAAATTTTGATGTTTCCTGGATCAGTGTCAAATTCCGATTTTCTCTACTACAGAGCTTATTTACATATCATTCATGCTAAGAGATGGGGTTATCATAGAAACAGGAAACTCCAAAGAAGCACTAAAATACAAACCACTTGTGAATGAATTTGGTCTATTTGCCATTTTTAAATGCTATTTTTATGCACTCCTCAGAGGTGCTAATACTGTATACAGTACATTTCTCAAGGGAGCTCCCTTACAATTCTTCTGAAAGTCTGGGTTTTATAGGTGTGTTTTTAAGCTTTGGAGGATATAAGGAAAGTAGAAACTATTACCTTTTCAGTTTAATAACACAAGTAAGATCTCTCTCTCATTGAATTTTTTTGGCAAAACATTAATGTTGTTGCTTCCTCTGCATTTAGTCATATGTAAAAATGTGGAATGTTCATACTTATGCTAATGATGCCTTTTTAGAAGCAGTGTATATGTATATAAAGAGAGATGATGTATTCTGTTTGATATTATGACATTCCATTTAAGTTCCACTGTTTTAAAATAGATTACCTGAGATTTTAGCAGGGTCTTTCATTTTTTAGAATTAGTTTCTAGACATTTTTTTTCTGTAGAATGATGGAACTAATTGGCTTTAAAAATTATCTTACACTGTATTATTCAGGTTGTTTTCTCTCTGTTCTGAAGAAATCTATGGTTTTGAAAAATGCCTACAATGTGAAGGAAACTATATAGAAAATATGTCATATTGAATGAAAGAAGGTAAAAGCTAGTCTAGATAGGCAGGTTCAACTGATTTCTAGGTTATGCTTTACCAGATGATTAAGGAAGTAAGTGGCTAGTAACATGATAAGAATACTTTTAGTCTTGAGTATGCAAGTATTTATTTGCACATCTCTCTCTTAATTATACATTTCTCATATTTCAGTCATAGTCTATCTGTATAAGCCTGGTTTTCCTACTCAGTCATAATGAGAGAAATACAGTGCCTTGCTTAGCATAAGAAAGATGAATAAAAATTCAGCCCGTAGTCTGGAAGAAGATGGATCTAAATGCATTCTTATTTTGGGACCTCATTCCTTATAATGCTCCTGCCTTTTTTTCATATCTGTTCCAGTAGTCTAAGTCTTTCACAGCCAGTTCCTTTTGAAAATTTCATCAATATGATGTACCAGTTTGTTTGGAGTGTCTGTGCTCCTTTTTTTCGGCTTTTTTTTCTTTTGTATACTCTTGTGCTGGGGAAGAAGGATGTCCCTAAGCAGCAACTCCGACTGAAATTAAACAAGTCAACATTAAAGTATTCCAGAATTGGTCCTAGCCACTGAATGAGTCATACATTGCAGGGAGAAGCTCAGGCCATTTAGATTTTTATCCTCAATTGCTGTAAAGAGAACATGCTTTGCTTGTTCCAGAGATTAAAATCTGTAAACAACTTTTCAGAGCAGTACCAAGTTTCTTACAGCAAAGCAGAGAAGCAGCAAATAATTCAAGAGATTTCTAATGCTGCATGATGTTATTTTTCCCTGTCTTTTAGTTGAAAAAATTTTGGCTAACTTAGCAGCCATGAACTGCTCAGAAATAAGAGACTTGTCAGAGATAAACAGTATGAGTTCCTCATTTCACTCACGCATATGGATGTTGAGGGGGAAATAAGAAAGTAAGACATATCTTAAGTCCTTGAAATACCTTTTATAGAAAGATTTTAGGCAGTGATTGGCAACCTAAATTACTGTTTAAAATCTTTCTAGATCATGAATGTTTCCAAATGATAAAGCGTAACATTTGTATTCTTGTCAATCAGAAAGGAAAAAAACCTTAAGCCTAGACCTGTATTTTATTAAACACAGCTCTGAGGCAGTCACAGGTGCCTTGAGAGTCAGATTTAGTAAAAATAATAAGTAGTATCATTATCTTGCTAGCTGCCAGCAGTCTGATCCCCCAAATTGCTTCATTCCGAATTCACATATTGAAAACACTTTCCTTGGGTTTTAGATAAGTAACTAAGGTTTAACTTGTTAAATGACTGGTAGCGAAGGGATCGGTAGCTGTTGTACACAAGCATTAAACTCTCCATGTTGTCATGATCAAGTAATAAATATTAAAAGAACATAAGAACTTCCCAGCTAGTTCAATGTATGCCTGTGCAAATTTTAGTGAATGTTTTAGAAAAATAAATAAAATTAAAGGAATGTAAGGCTATCTGGCAGGCAGAAAGAGTGCAAGTCCATCAAATTGTGCAGCAAGGATTATTTTGCAGATTTCTATAGTTCTTTTTAAATAAAACATTTTGCTTCTCTGAAGAGACACACATACATGCAAAAAAAAAAGAAAACAACAAAAAACCCATACAAAGAACAGTGATATCTTAGACATTACAATTACTTCTCTTATTTTTAAAATCTTCTGATTCACCGTAGAATCTGCTTGAGCAGTTTTTTTGTTGTTTTTCATTTCTCCTCTTTGAATATTGCTCTGTCAGGTTTTTTTTCCTAAACTTCTTAGGATTTTCTGATGTGAATGATATTGTTTTGCTTTGTGTGAATATGCTATTCTACTCAATAGACTTCCATTCCATCAAATATCTTGAAAGACCAATGAAAACATACATCTAGAAACAGAATACAAAGTGGTTTTATGCATTTTGTCATCTCTTAATCTTCTGTTCAGTAAAATAACCAAGTACAAGCATTTATGTTTTAATGACTCTCTATTGTTTAAAAGTTAAGCAATATCAGAAAAATCTTCAATTTTATGTCACTAGCTTTTTAGTCTGTTGTGTTTCACAGTTTCTATATGAATAATAATTATTAAGGCTGAAGGACTAAAGTGGTGAAATAAAAGTGTATGTGTAAGGTTCTTTCTGCTTGACTTCCACTCTGACTACCTTCTGTTTTAACTATTTCTTTGGCTAATATTTTGTACATATCTGTCATGTTCAACAGGAATGAGGTTCACACTGCTTTAAATGAAAACTTGGGAAACTTTAAAGGTTTGAAAGTGGGACATCTGTCTATATGACTCATGTCCCTCTGGCTGCTGAAGGCACCTCTGGGCTAGTTCAATAAGGTCTTTTTCTGAGATGTCATGTGACAATTCTAGGCATTACATCCACAGAAAAATAGTGATCAGGAAACTTTCTTCAGTCTCTTAGATCAAACGTACACTAGGCAAGAAGGAATCTCTTCAAAACTTCATCCTAGCAATGAATAACCTTTGGTTTGCTGTTATACTTTTTTGATTTATGAGCTCTGCTATCCTGCTTTCTGGCTGTGGTATGGACTTGTACATTACAGACATTAGTACAAACAACTGGAATTGTTTAAGGCATTTAAGTCTCTCAATATAAGACAT